GACGCTTTGCGATTACTTTTAATGCATTATTTATGATTTAAATATAAAATATTTATAAAAGAATGTCCTATTTTACTTTTGAAGTTCTCATGCACGTATACATAAAAAAAGTATCGGAATCGCGTCAACATCATCTTCGCAGATTTTTTCAAATCTCCACATTCTGATAATGTTTTTCTATTACTGTATATAAAATGTTCGTGTATCTCTGTTGTTAGCTTTTTATTATATTATATTAGAAGAAAAGGTGGTATTATGGAACTGTGCAGGTGTTATGGAACCTCACCTTATCAAACTGATAATAAATTAACTGAACTATAGCGGATTGTGGCTGAACTGCACCAGGCAGACATCCATAGCGAGGGGAGAACCTGTTTCACTTCAGTTAAACGGTTGTCTGTAGTGAATCAGCATATTTGTGCATTACGAAATCCGAAAATTTTGGATGCTAAGTGAATTTAATTATTTCTAAAATATAAATCGTGTAGTTGATGGTTCGCTGGTGCATGTATTCCGTTCCAGAGACTTAGGGGAACAGTATATATTAACTCCTTGGGACTCTACCAATTTTTGATATTAATGTAATTAAACGTAAAAAATACTTACAACTGAAGAAAACGAAAGAAATGTGTTAATTTTGAAGAAAAAGCTTAAAATTTTATTTTTCTTTGTCACGCCTTTCTGTGAAATGTGACACCGATGAGTCATTGCTTACACAGCTGGATGACCTTGAACACAGCTGGAGTTGGATTTTCCGGGACATTCTCATAGAAATCTCGGGAGGCAATTGGTTTATAGTAGCGTGAATACTAGCTGACCGTGTATTTTTAAATATTTTTAAAAAATTACGTTTTTTATTGCGATTTTCGTCTCCCGACTTAATTAAACGTATATATAATAAAATCTATTAATTAAAAAAAATTAAAAAACTATTGGAGGTCGTTTCTGACATCATAAGCTAGCTTTAAATAACTTTACCGAAGGAAAATCCGTGCACTACAACTTTAAAACGATAAATGAAATTTGATATCAAACTTCCATTTAAAAACTATTAAAAAGCAATTAACCGTGAAGCGTGCGTCATTAAAGGTAAATTAAAATCGCGATATAATTTTTTCGCGCGGGAAATAATTTTGAAAAAAATTGGAGACTTAAAAAACATTCCAAAAATTCATAAAAAAAAAAAAATTTAAAAAATGGCCTTAAAGACCGTTAATCTGTGTGATGTTCACGTTTTTTGAAGTTTGATCTTGGCAGACATAAGTTCATTCGATATGGCGATGTATTGGTGCTATTAATATGGAACCCAACTGCTTTGAACTCTCTCTTTGCAAGCAGACATTTGTCCGGAGCAATTTGTTAAAAGACACTAGGTAGAAAGCCAATTCTTCACGAGAATATCGAAAAAGAGTTGCTGGAATATACATTGTTGATGGAGGTCATGTTTTTCTATTATAAAAGCATTTTTTTCGATAAAATACATTGGAGTAAATAATTTTGTAATTATTTAATATTCATTGTACTAACCTGTTTGTTTTTGGATACATTAAAGCATTTTTTGAAAACGTGCAGTAAGATTCCATGTTACCTATATTCAATTAGGAACATTTAGTTTAATAGTTACCAGTACTTTTCGCTCAAAAAATATGGGTGTAGTTATGATAACTTCTTTACAATTCACTATAATGTAATTGGGGTCAATAATACCACCTTCGCTATTGCTTTTGCAAAGTGACAAGTCGCTTAAATTTAGCGCATCCTTTATGATGTAAAACGAGTTCGCAAACCGTTGCTGCACTTGAAAGTGTTTCTAGTTTACTAAATTATCTACAATACGAAAAAAAAAGAATTCAGCAATAAAAATATTTTCTACAACTTAAAATATATCCAGTAATTATTTCAAAATATACATTTTACATATTCTAACAATGTTAACGAAACTTATTTGTACGATTGCTATACAATATATTTATTGCTTGTATGAGTAAATCGAATATAACGAAATGAAAACAAAATACTTTTATGATATACGATACATAGTTATTGAGCTGCGATTCGAAATAACTGTGACCGTAAAAATTCCTACTATCGATTGACTTCCTTAATTTCAAGAACGTGGTGAAATATACGACAAACGACACAAGCCGTGGACATCTGCATGTGTGGCCTTGAATATCTATAAAAGAACTTTCGGTGAAAATCGGAAGTCGTATTATTCCAATTCAAATATTTCCCCTTGAAAGGTATTAGAGAAATGACCGGCACGACTCTGTTGTTGAAAAGTATGATGTACTGTACAAAGGCAAACAAACCCCAAATTTGAGTCGAGGTCATATATTTTAAATTAAATAAATAAAAATTTGATTAAAAGTTACTGCTCGTCATTCTGACGATGCTCGTTATTAACTTTTATTTTTTAACAGAAGTAGTAGTGATTTGAGTGGCACTAATCACAAAATTAATTTCAGATGTCAATTAAATTAAAATTGCAAATAAAAATTTGTTGAAAGTATTTATTAAATATTGTAAACAGAACAATGCTCTTTGAAATATTTGTAGATTCTAGTGTCTCAGAATTCTCCTGTGGTAAGTATTAAAATAATTTACAATATTTTTTTATATGTCTCTATTTAATTGATATATTTTAATATAAATTAGATTTCAACACTCAAAAATACTCAAATGGTAAGTGTTAAGCATCATTAAAACTGTCTAACAATAAAACATATGACTGTAAATTTTTTGTAATAAATGATAAAATATCATTACCGATATACGACAAATATTTTACAAGATGTGACTGTATGAAATGTAATAAATAATTTAGTATCTGCTAATATATGTATTCAATTTGAATAATAATGTATTCTATTATGATATCCATAAAGAAATGTGTCATATTTTAGACAAAGTGAATAAGAAAACTGGAAAAGCTTAAGTAAAAGAAAAGAAATTCAAAAAATAATTTTGTCTCGGTGTTATATTATTTCATACAATTGTTTCGAATATTAAAACATTTAATAATTAATACAGCCTTATTGTTACAAGATATTTTATGAAAACTAAAATGAAATAATCTTAATTTATTCAAGATATTTTTGATCTGAAATTATTGCAAATTAATTTTATAATAATTAAAAAGAATATATTAAATTTTGTTTTGGGTGTTATATTATTTCATACAATTGTCATGTTTTAATTTTCTCAATCTATAAAATAATTCAGATAGAACATGATTATAAAAAAAATTAGTTCATAAAATGAATTAGAAAAAATCTGACACCTACTCACTTAGAATAAATAATTAATTGTTAAAAAAAACATTTGATAATTAATTTCAAATTGTTGTGTTTTGATTTACTCAACAAATTTTTTATTTAAAAAAAATTATTATTACAAATTAGTACAACTTAATTTTATAATAAATTTAATAATTAATTGGAATGTATTAAACTTATTATTAAAATAAAATTTAATTCAATTCAAACTTGTGATCAGAAAATTAAAACTAAATTCTTTTAATTTTAAAAACATAAGTTTCACATTAACAATTTGATAAAATGGATGAAATAATTGAATATAATCGTGATATAACATCAAAAATAAGGAGACAAAACATTTGGTATATCAATGAACATTCTATATCAGGGGTGGCCAACCTTTTGCATACCATGCGCCAATTTTTTGATAGACGAGTTCAGATGCGCAGTGGCGTACCGTGGGTGTTAGCCGCCCGGGGCGGAGAAAAATTTCGGCCACCCTTTAATCAGGTATTTCAATTTAAAAGATCAAAATTCAGTTGTGTGAAAAAAAAATTAATAAAAAATGCGGTGGTGGTGTAGTTACCCGTACAAAATAGTCCCATTTGACATTAGTGGCATACACGATTGCGAATGTATCGTGAATCGTAGAAGCAAAAAAAAAAAAAAGGTCAACAGGTGTAGCAGTCCAACCGACTCGTGGACTGTCCGGACGGTAGCACTGTCATTTAGACGCCTATGCACTGATCGAAAATAAACATACATGCATACACTGTAATTTACTATGTGGAGAACACTCATTTTATCTGTAAAGTTGATTGCAACGAATTGTGCAACAAATGAACTTGCCAAGACAGACTATAAAAAATTAATTTTCTATGTAATATTCTTAATTGCAAAGAAGCCAAATCTGGCAATGTTGCTCAGAACTGACTAAAGCGCCACTTGTAATCGTCCAATGCGCCAAGTTTGGCGCATGCGCCACGGTTTGGCCACCCCTGTTCTATATGGTCAGTAAAAAATATTTATGTATGAAATCATTTTGTTATTTTCTTATTAAATATAAAATAATACTAATCCTAATTTTTATTTATATAAAATTGCAGAATGCGATTCTAATAGATTTTGAAGCATTTCAACTTATCTCGACAGTTGGTCCTAAAAACATTACACTGTCCTATAGAAACTGTAATAAACATTTATATAGATTCTGTTAAAAAATATCAATTATCGGCAAAAGATCAATGGCAAGTCAATTTTACTAGCAAATAAGTTCATAGATTAAATTTTATATACGAAAACCCATCGGATATAACTGGTTGGATTGAACATAGTAATTTACGAAGCTTATTAAATTATTTCACAACGTATAACGAATTATTTTTATTTTAAGGTGAACACATAGAACAAAAAAATCTTTTTAAAAACTGTTACTACAATTATTTAGACATCAAACTTCTTATGATGTCTAAGATTGAATAATATTAAAAAATTTGTTATTACTACAAATATTTTAAAAAGCATCGTTCTCTTTACAATATTTAATAAATACATTCAACAAAGTTTTATTTGCAATTTTAATTTATTTGATAGTAATTTATTCAAAAAATTAATTTTGTGATCTGAAATAATTCCATTCAACAAATTGTTATTTGCAATTTTAATTTAATTGACATCTGAAATTAATTTTGTGATTAGTGCCACTCAAACCACTACTACTAACAGACATTAATTTTTCAGGAAATAAAGACGACGGCCAGGAGATAAAAATGAATTTTCCGACTATGTCCTTTTTACCAGTTTTGTGGAACATTGTCTTTTCTCAACGTGAAAAACAATACCACGATTCACACGTCGGCATATGTAAGTCACAAATATTTTATTGCATAATTTGACTCTTTACGAATAGATGAAATATTTTTTCGTAACTTTCCAGTAAATAGAAATCTCTCTACCGGACTTCCTATGCTATTTACAAACGAGAAAGTATTCTGTATAAACATATTTGGATATAAATTAATTGTTTTCTTACATCCAGAATCTGCAAAGGTAATATGCCCAGTTATGTAATATATTCATTACGAATGGAAATATTCAGTATTACGTTTTATAGGAAGTGTTACGAAGCAACAGTTTAACATATAGTGATTCTACACATTTCTTCAAGCCACTTCTCGGAGACAACAGTTTTTTTTTCAGGTAATGCATTATTTGATATTTACTTTACATATCAAATATCGTTGTTTACAGTTTTCTGAATTGAATTAAATCAAGTTCTGGCGATAATTGGAGAAAAAGAAGAAAATATTTAGCTCCACATTTTCATCTTCGGAATCTGAAAGATGATCAAAATGTATTTATGGAGCATTCAAACGTCTTAGTGGAGAAACTCAAACAATTGCAGAAGAATGAAATATTCGATATCCTGGAACGGATGAAATATTGCACACTCGACATAATTGCAGGTATTACTCTCTAATGTAAAATATTTAATTACGTATTATAAATATCAATTTGTTCATACG